TCTTCATAATGTCTGAATTGAAATGACTCAACGTTCCCGCAAAACTTAAAGTCTCATGAAAGCCTTTAAATGGAGTTCAAATGAAGTTGAGGAAAAAAAAAAATAATCCATTTTTGTTTTTTTAATCATAAGGAAACTTTAACACATAGATGAATATAATTTGAAAACGGCTGCTTGACAGTTTAACATAAACAATTCCACTGATGAAAGCACAATATGGGGATAATTATCTGTTCAAATAAATCTGCTTGATGTTAATGAGCATTTGAACAATCCATTAAGGAGTCATTTTTTTTCCGTGCAATTTTCTTTGGTAAGCAAAAATGACACATCCAAAACTTTTATTAAGTATACAATTTCCTCTCTATATTATTGCATCTTCTACAGAGCTTCCTTTTCCAATAAGGCATTGAATCAGCAGCAGAAAGGACAGAGCTTGGTCCTACAGCAGCTTGATGCAAGGACAGTTGCTGGAGCTAAAATTCTATTCAGAATTGATGCAGTGCTTCACACTGATGGTGCAGCTTGCAGATGTAGTACTGGGAAGGAGACTACAGAGCTCTGTTTTGGATGTTTTATCTTACTGAATGAAACAGTTCCCTATGACCATGCAGTAATTTTAACTAGCTAGCAGGATTCACAGAATCTCTGCCTTTTCCTTCTTCCAGTCCTGTTCCACTCTTAATTTTTACTGAGTTGTTGTTCTACGTTTGGTTGGTTAATTCTTCCTCAGAAAATGTCTACAGCCATAGAGATAAAAGTTGGGTTTTCTCTAGAATCCAAAAGCATCTGCCTGTTCAACCACCAACTGTCAAACCACTTGATTTTGGCTCTTAGAAGGCATGCTTATTATTGCATACAATTCTTGAGTATATACGTGCTTTCTAATCACTTGAATAACTAATGTAAATATTCTTCTTAGGAGAAAAAAAAAAAGCCTTTTACTTTAAAAATCCCAGATTTTACACATATCTAGACTTGTTAAAAAAAAAAAAAAATCTGAAGAATTGAAAAGCTAATGAGAAACTAGGTTCTGTACAGTGAAAAGGTAATGTGTGCCTCCTCATGTTCACACCAAAACACCAAGAGTTGGCTTATAGACTAACCAGCTCTGGAATGGACAACAAATGACAAAGTTTTCATCCCTAAGGTCGTACTGGATTGGTGTCATGTGCCTTGCATGATTTCTGTCTGTCATTTTGGTATAATGGTAGAATAATTCATATGTATCTCTGTTGGCACACAGAAATACATTTTTTCACTCTGTTTTGGATATGTAGGCCCTGCAGAAGGGTGAATTTTACAGTGCACAGTTTTGGTTTTTACTAGTTACTGCAAAGGGCTTTCTTAAGAATCTCAAAAGAAGCATATCCAGTTTCATCTAATTCCCAAAGAGAAAAAGCCAAAAGCCCTTACAGCATCAGCAGATGATGCTTTTTCCTCTTTCTGGTTAAGTCAAGACAGGGCTCCAGTAGTCTAATGTGTTTGGAATTGGATATAGATTTTTAAGATTGGATATAGATTTTTAAGGTCAGGAAATTTAATTTAATTCTTGACACCTACTTGATCATAAGGAGCTATTTATTAAAAAAAAAAAAAAAAAAAAAAAAAAAGATTTTAAACTGAACTCTGTGTTAATTTCAAAATGCTTTTTTTTTTTTTTTTTTCCTTACATGAGAATTTTTTTGTTTGTTTGCTTCAAACTTACGTTTAAGAAAACTGACTTCTGTGGTCACTGAGAAGTTGAAATTACATCTGCTGTAGTGATTTTTAATTACATAGAAACTGCACTTGCTGTGACAAAAAAAGAAGGATATATAATGGAAAAATACCCTAAAACTTTTTTTGTAAAAAAAACCAGAAACCAGCAGAAGCTTAATAATGACTTAAAAATCTGTTAAGGTAAGTTTCTCAGATCTGGAAGTGCATGTTGTAAATATTTTTGCTTAATAGTTTCCCCTGGGGATCTAACTTTCTATTATTAAATATACTGAAGTATTCTTGCTTAAAATACACCTAAAATAGCCATTCACTATCACTTTTAGGTTTAAAACATATTTACTCCTCCCACCATTTGCTACTCTACAGTAATTCATTTTCAATGATGTAATTTTATCTTCTGTGACTTTATTTCAAACAAATTTTATTTTGAAAGACTTTGGGAGTTTTTTTTCTCAGCCATTACAGTACAGAAAAAAAAAAAAACTGTAAAAAGAAAATACATTGGTTGATCAGATGCTCCTTATTTGTCAGCAAAAAATAATCCAAGGAACTGAGACCAACTTTTTATTAGGAAAGTACACGTATTCCTTTTTATGCCAGAATAAATCACCAGATAAGAACCTATGTGATAATTCTATTGTAAGACCCAGTTTTATTTGATCATCGTAGTGATCAGATGTTGTTGTAAAAGCCATTGTAATGAATGTCAGGTGGAGAAAGGTATGTAAGGACAGTTTTTATTTTTGCCTGAATAAAACCCCTCTCTATTCACAGTCATTTATTAACCTGGTCCTAAAGTATGTAGGTTTCCATTGCTGTTTTTTCTGTAGCTGGTTAACATCAAATTTTATTTCTACTTTATTTTTTAACACTTTCATACATCTATCATACATATATACAGCACTCAAGCACTGGAGAATATAATGCTGACAAAACAGAATAAATAATTATATGGAAACTGCTGAACCATGGCCTGAACCTCTGATTGATCACCTGAGGCAAGCAATGAGTCAGCCACGGGAGCACAGGTGAAGACAATTCATCTGTGCTGCTGGAAGGGGTGGAACTTGGCTCCACCTCTCCTAGACTCCATTTAAGAGCTGACTACCAGTAGGATAGGATCTCTTTCTAGAGATCCCTCCTTTTGGAGTTTTACAGCAAGCCCAGAGCAAGGGTAAGCCCTCCATCTTCTTTTTGGTGTAATAGCCTGCTTAGCCAAACTCTCTTGTATCAAACTCTCTTGTATATTTCTTAATTATAACACCTGTATATTCATTGATTATACAATAATGAATAGTTAAAAACTACATTTATATGGGTTCTGTTGAGTCCCAGCCTGAACCACTGATTTAGTACCAGGGAACAGCATTGGGTCAACTCTGGGAGCACAGGTGAGGCAATTCAGCTGTGTGATAGGAAGGGTTGCAGCCTCTCTTAGACCTCATTTAAGGGCCAACTGCCATTGGTGAAGGACGTCTGGTTGGAGATCCCTCCCTTGTGGAGTTTTCCCTGCAAGCCTAGATCTTCAGGGTTGGGTGAGCTCTTTTCCTTTGTAACACCTGTCTATAGCACCTTTCTATTGCGCTGGTGCCTTTGCTACTGCACTCCTGTATTCCCTATTGACCTTTCTGATTGTAACAACTCTAAAATAGAGGACCCAGTAAGCAGCTAAATTCACAATGTACTTGGATAAGAATTGCTCAAGTATGAATGAAAAGAACCTGTTCATTCTCTTCTCATATTAAAACAGAGTTTGGGGTAGGTAATGGTAGGAAACGTAGGACCCTTGAATCCTAAATCTGGCTATAAACAGTTACTCAAAAATAAATGGTATTCCCTGTCATTATTTTATTTGTAATGTTCTTGTTGCCGCTGGGTTATACGGAGTAAAGGTATCTTCACTGGGTAAAGATGTCTGCTTTTACTAGGGCTACCTTTGGGGTGTCCAGCTCATTGCGAAGCATCTGCCTGGAAGTTAGTCCCTTTGAATTCCAAGGGCTTGTGAAGTGTAGTGAACGTAGCATATTTTACATGGGTGCTAAAGGTAGTGGCCGTGGAGGAGATAAGAAGGTAGAACAAGTGGTTATCCTGAGAGCACCGGGTGACATTGAATTCTTTACTGGTGTCAGTGGAATTCATTGAAGGCTTCTTGAAATAAAGGGAGGAAATCATAAGCTAGCGTGTTCTTTCCATGAAGGTGAGCATTATAATCACAAATTGTGCTGCAGCTGAAGGCTGGGGGAAATCTTAGAAATATTTACTCTAAAATGTTGACAGCTAAATGTAATAATAAAGGCCTTGACTGAAGAGTGTCACTGCCTTCCTCCTCCCACTGCTGTTATGTGGGAGTTTGGAGCAGTTTATTATGTGGTGACCTATTTTCTACTTTTCATCTATTGATTGGGAAGAACTCCTCTTTATTTTATTTAATTCTTGCCTTTGTCAAGCTGTCAGTGGATCTAACACCAGCTGCTAACAGAGACAGCTCACTAGAATGTCTTAGGTGCAGGGGTGAAGTTGTTTCTTACATCTAGGGTTGCAGATACACATAATTCCCCTTCTCGCAGCCGCTAGAAGCTATAATCCGCAGTTTTGATCAGATGGTTCTTGAGAAGTTGTCAGTGCATCTGTCAGTCAGTGGATGTCAAAAAGTATACATGAGAGAAAGAGAAGAATTTGTGATACTACGTGTCAAAGTCTTACTCTAAGGCCTGTACTGAGTGAACAAGGCTTTCTTTTTTATTTTTTAACATTCTTCCCCGCAGGGACCTTTATTCCCTGTTCTGGGAGTTTGAGAATGGGTGAGAGCATTTCAACCTCCTGGTTTCTAATCTCTGGGCTGACAAGTTTTGCAATGTGACCTTGAGCACATTATTTAAACTCTCAGCATCAAATTCACCACTATTGTTGATCTATGCAACCTCAGTGTTGCTACACTGAGAGTGTAACTTGTTTTCAATTCCCTAACAAGTAATCCCAAGAGCAGTGTTTGTTTTTCTCATAAATATTTTGCAAGAAAAATTACTTTTTTTTCCCTAGAAGACTCTATTTCAAAGTACAACCAGTGGCCAAGCACTAGGGTCTATAATACTTGGACCTCAGTATTTATGGTGGGACTGTGGCTGGAAATAAAGGCATAATTACAGACCTACAGGCAAAGAGTTGTCCTGTATATGGCGTTAGCTATATGGAAAGAAAAAGGCCCACTGTTTTGACACAGGCATTCTGTTTTCCTTTCTAATTTCTTAGGAATTGAAACAGGTTTTCTCCTTTTCCAGGCATCTTCTTTCATTTTCCTGAACAAGTGCAATGATGGTAGATCTCATTGGATGCAAAGAAAAGAGGAGCAAGAGACAATTTTTGTCTGGTAAGTTATATGGCTGCTTTCTTTTTTATTCATTTTTCGAATGTCTAATTCTAAAAGTGAAGGATCTGCTTATGATTCAGAGATGGTTTCTGTCTTCTGTTACAAGTCCTACTGCTCTATCAGAATGTCACAGCTCAACAGTCCCACAGCATAATGATGGTATTTCTCACACTTTTCCCTGTCATTATCTTCTCTTATTCTATTTAATCAATAGAAAGTTTAGCAATTGCGGTATTGGCTATAGCAAAAGTTGCTATTTGAATGCTTACACTGTTAGATCAGGAGAATAATAATTACCTTTGCATGTTGTATATCTCTTGACATGCTGAATAGGAAATGGAATCATCAGAGTATTTATCCCCACGGAAGGAGATGAATAATAATAAAAAACAGCTGCAGTTCTCTCTACTTTCTATTGCTTTTTGTTTCTGATTCTTTGCTGCCACAACCACCAAGATGGTGGCCACCATTATGGTTTTGCTATATAGCATTACAATTGAGAGTTTTAGAGTAGAAAAGAAGAAAAAAAAACACCAAATCTTTATTATGAACATGGTTTTGCTGCACCTCTACTTGGAGTAAGTAACCCCGAGTAACAATCTTCCTATGTTTTCAATGGCATGTAGGCTTGAAAATGTTTATTAAATCTATCCTTCTGGAGATGTTTTAATGATGGAATCAAGTGACAAATCTGTTTTTCTTTTCTTTGTTCTCATGTATGTTTGCTGCAAGTAGTAATCATAGTTTAATTTTTAGTAATGTTTATTTGCTAAACCAAATTTTCAAATAGAACTTGTCAGATGTCCATATTTGGAATTGGAAGTTCATTGGGATATATTGCTGGATCTCTAGATAAGAAATATAGAATGAAATATTAATTTGAAAAAGAAATGAAAATGAAATCTTTTACTGATCTCCTCTGTCTTCTGCTCTCTCACTGTTGTTGAATATTTTGATATGCTTTCCAATGTATTTGATGTCAGATGAGCAAGTGTAAAATTGGAAATTTGTTGGGGAAATGGAAGAACAGCAATATTCCTGTTACTGAAACCACACTAAGTTACTAGACAAATATTATGAATATGGAAAGGAAGAAAAATTGTCTAGGTACTTGGAGGAAGAAAAACAATTTAGTGTTCCATAAAAAGGAAATTCAGCAGCCTGACCATAAATTTGAAATGTTGATCTCTGAAATCCATTTTATCTTCAGAAGACATACAAGCTCATTAAAAATATTAAAATATATTTCTCCCTTACCAGTCCCAAAATTTATTTTTAACCTTTTTACATAACTGTTCCAGGTAATCACTCAGTCCTAGAAATTACTCCTAAAATTCCTACTAACTCCTGTTTATGCAGGATTGATGCTTTAGCTGAAATTCTTATCTTGGTGAAATGAAGGTAACTCCCTGTAGTTCCTAACTGAGTAGGGATTCCACACTTCTTGGTTATGCGTCCTATACCTCTTTGTATATCTTGTCAAGTGTTCTAGTAAGTGTGGGAGGGACTGTACAATGGAAGGGAGGATGTCAGCCTGGGCAGCACTACATGCAGTGTCTTTGTTACAGGAATCAATAGTTCAGAGCAATCGCCCAATCCTTACTGAAGATTTGGAGGTAGCAAGCATTAAAAAACCCTTTCCCACATGCAGAAGTTCCATAGCATTTGATTTGTCAAGAGAAATCTGACCCAAGCTTGAGGTTTGATTTTTCAGATTGTAAAGAATTTTCAGATTCACAAGAAAGTGATCTGCCTAAGCTGTGAGCTTGGAGAAAACTCCTGTTTTTTTTTTTTTTCCTGGAGATGTTTATTGGTTAGAAGTAGAAATTTGAGCCAGGAATCGTTAGGTTCACCAGTGGCTTGTGAAGGCAACTGATCTTCAGTATTAAAAATTACTGTGATAAATCATCCCTGGAGGTGCTCAAAATTAAGTTGGATGGGGGCCTGGGCATCCTGATCTTGTGGGTGGCAAACAGCATATGGCAGGAGAGTTAGAACAAGATGGTCTTTAAGGTCCCTTCCAACTCAAGCCATTCTATGAAACTGAAATAATTTTCCTTCCATCTCTTTTTGTAAGCTTGCCTGCTCTTGTAATAGAGTGGATTGCTGTAGTAAGAAAGATGTACAGGCAAGCATAAATTCATTGACATTATGGTCAGTTTATGGAAGTCATTTTTGCAGGAGGTCATAAAATCCTGTCTATCTGTCTTTTTAAAAGAAAAGCCTTGGTAACATTGAAAGTGTTAACAGAAGACCTCAAAATGCATTTCTTAATTTATTCTTCCCCTTTAGATCTTTGCTCACCATCCCCTACAACTTTGCATACTTCAGTACTATTTGTGTTTCCTCTCTGTGTGAGAGAGGATGAAATGTTTAGGATTAGTATAACCTCTGAAATTACAGTGATTTTGACTGGGGTTCTTTTAGAGCAAGTCTAAATTTATACGAGCTGAGGGAACTGACCTTTTGAATTAGCATAACTAAATGTGTTTAAAAAGCCAACTCAGGCTACACTGGCACTTTTCTCTAAGGAGCATGACACAGTGTCAGTACTTCTGGGTATGGTGTGCCTTTTGGTTCACATAGCTTATATGATTACCCTGTTCCCAACATGGACTATGTGCTAGAGACTTGTTGTCCATTATGTGTTGCAGGTCAGAGGAGCGTCACAATATTTAGGTTATTTTTACCAACATGTTTTCATAATGCATTGTATATGACCTTTAAAAATCTGCAGGAAAGAAAGCAGTGCTCATCAACTCTTCTGTGCAGGCAGGTTAACTGTTTTGTGACTTACCCTTCCTCTCTGAGGATCCTAAGGCTGCCTGCCAGCTGTGGTGGTTTTTCAGTATGTATTTCACATCATGCCAAACTTCCATTATAATGTCTTAAGGTCTGAGAGAGGTTGAAGATTAGTGATCCTTTCTCTTTGTGCAGTGACTTTGACTTTGGCTCCAAAAATCTGGTTAGTTGGCAAAGACAAACTTGAACACGTTGCTTGCCAGATATGCCCAGCTGTATGTATGCCACCTGCTTAACCATGTGCCATGTGGGCAGGCTGCCATTTACTTTGCTGACAGTGTGGTGAGATGCGTAATACAGGGTATAGCAGCCAGGCACAAAGCTAAGAAGCTTTTCTCTCTCCCCTCCCCCCTTTTTGTAGTCAGTAAATCTAATATCAATACAAATATGAACAAATTCAGGATTAATTTAATGAAGAGCCAGTTTAAGCTAAATCAAGATAAGTTCCACTTACACTGAATCAGGATTGTATACAGGAGATGTGTGCTGGCTTAGCTAATTTACTCCTAAGCATATGGAAGCCAAGTCATGTAACCAGCATCAAGGATACAGGAAGCCATGATGGAAGACCACCAGTTTTGTTTTTTTTAACATGTACTATAACAAAAACTGTCTTGACATTGTTCCCACTACAATATCTAGAAGTCATCAGGGTGCAGAATAATCATTAACATGAGAACATGCAGTGAGCAAAAGCCACTCTACAGACAGAACAGTTGAAAACTGTTCAAATCTCTAAGAAGCTTGGAGAGCTTAAATCCTTGTTACTTGTAAAACTGTGGTGCTAAAGAAAGTGTTATAAAGTAAGTATTCCTAAGAAATACAAGTATTACGTTCTCCAGAGTGAAACTGCAAATGTGGTTTTGTAGCTGGAACAGTTCTTACTTACAGACTGATACTTCGTGAAATGCTGTAATCATTTTCCATATATAAAGCAATATTATGCCATTTGGTTCTTAGAAATCTCTGCAGTAAACGTACTAGAAACTCATTAAGTCTTACTAAACACTTCCATATTAAATAAGAGTTATTTCATATTTTAAGTAGGTAAATGGGCATAGCCTAAGTGACTTGTGTAAAAAAAATAATACATCGTGTTGACAGCTTCCATGACATGTAGAGTAGCAAGTCTTCTCTTTGCATAACAGGGAACACTGATAGATTTTTCATTACAAGAACCCTTTTTTTTAACCCAAAGTCCAAGGAGCATGGAGTAAATCTACTGTTTAAGCATGTTAATAAATAACTGTAAGATGAAATCCCTACCAAGGTAACAAGTGCCAAATAAAATATATTAGTCAATAAAAAAACTATTAGAAAGCAAGTCCTTTTAATGTGATTTACAGTAGGCTGAAGCCACAAAATAGCAAATAGGAGGAAAGAAAATTACACTGTAAGAAATAAAGAGGACCACTATTTTCATGGTATATGTTGGAAAACAAAGGAAAAGTAATGAGTAAGTATTGGTTGTAGTCTGTTAACATTGTTTTCCAGAGGAAATTACTCCAGTATTTGAAATCATGAACACCAATAAGGTAGGGAAGCTTGCTTATATTATGGTTAAAGGCTCAAGCATAGAAGTCATTTTCTAGTTATCTTACTCTGCTTTCCACTGCTCCATATTTGTCAAAAGGATGTTTTGTGGTGTAAGTTACTCTATGATATGTAGAAGAATGTAGGGATTAAAGCGAATTGTGATCATTTAACAATAATTACTGACAAGACAAATTAACAAGGCCTAGCATGTGGCTATATTTAGAAGCTGAAGTTGATACAATGCTGTTGCTTATTGGGGCACAAGGGCACCATTGGGGAAATACGGGTTCTGTTCCCACTTTGGGCTGATTGGTGATTATGGGGATGTCACTACTCAGTTTTCCAACTTGATGAATGAGAAATGGTAGTTATCTCCCTTGTACATTGAGAGTCAATGAGAAAATCAAAGTAATCACTAGATATCATTAAAGAAAGGAAACGTTTTCAGGATCCATAATAAATCCAATACAAAATGCTACTGTTGACAAAGATTTCTACTGCCATGAAACAAAGTATATTTGCACGTAGCTTAAAAGCAGGAAATCTCCCAGAGGTAATGCTGATAAAATGTGTATAAATAGCATGTTAGTTTAGCTTTTGGTTTGTGGCATAGATTCCTTCATAGATTTGCTCTCATGGAAAAGAAGGAAATATTTACCTGAAATGTGTTAAATGGTTATGTGTGGAGGCTGCAGGGGATGGATGGCAACACTGTCACATTTAAACAGCCCAGTTTTTACTCTCTAAGTAAGGGAAAGGGAAGTGTCTTGTACTTTTAATTAGTACCATGCCACTAGAGAGTAGAGGATAGAATCCAAACAAAGGCAGCACAAAAGAAGAGCTGTGTGTATTGAATTGTACTTTTTGTCTACAATGTGGCAAAATAGTTCTGGAGCTGAGAATTTGATCTATCAAATAGTGTTACTGTGCTCTTTGTATCTCTTGCAGTTTTCATGGAAATAAATAGGAGATCTTACTCTCAGAGCAACCTAAAATATTTAAATGCCAGATTGGTGTTAGTATATTAGGAATAGGGTGATAAAAATTGCTCTCATGCATGCTGCTCTTAAAATCTACTAAACCTAATCAGCTTCTTCCTGATAAGAGAGGCAACCTGGAACATCTGGCTATTGAAGACAAAAACTATGGATTATGGAACAGTACTTCATCTGTGATCTCATACTTTCTATTCTGCTATTGCTTTAGCTGAGTTTTGTCCTGCTCTCCCTTAGCCAGTGAGATTCTGAAGGAGCATGTGATGGTTGACTCAACTGCTGAGAAAAAATAATTCTCTAAAGTCAAGGTGTGCTGCCAAGATAAAATCAAACACTTGTAAGATGGCAGATTACCTGCTCCTCTGGTCCAGAAAGGATTGCCTGCATTGGAACGAAGAGGAACTGAATTCTGAGTGTGGTAATGGAGGTCCTAGAAAAGAGGGTGATGATGGCAGATGGCAGTTTTTTTATAGAGGTTCTTACTAATAACTGACTTCATAGAACTGCATCTATCACAGCCTTGATCCAGTCTTGCAGAGTCAACATGAGTGTGATTTAATAATTCTGAAGAAAAGGCAAGGTGATGTGTAGGAACTTGGAGAGTAGAGAAGAAGGTTGAGATGCTGCAGAGCGGATGAAGAATAAAATAAATAATATGCCAGGGCAATTGCTGTGATTTTGCCACTGGCAGAGTAAAGAATTTGTCTGTTAAATCCAACACATTGCGTAAAGCATGAATCTGTAAAACTTGCTGTCTCATACAGCTGGTTGATGTGAAAATCACATCTGGACTTTGTAGGAAATCTGCATGGGTTTTGACAAATTAATGATTTTCATCCATTTTAGGAAGCAAATGAATATAAAGTATATTTGGAAAAATAAGAATGGTAAAATAACAGGATTATCAGCTCAATTTGAAGTTCATTCTGCTTCTTATCAAAGCACTGTGAAGACTGTAGACTAGATCTTCCCCTGATTGAAAATGAATCAAAGAGGTTATGCAGAACGATATCAGCAAGGCACCTAGCTTGTCTTTCATTGCTTATCTGACTTGGAGCCATGAAGTGATTGAATAAACACATGCAACAAAGTATAATACCTACGAGTAACTCTTGGGAGATCTGCATTGGTAATTTTGGTGATTTATTGAATGCAGTTCTAAAGAAAACCCAGCAACCACCTTCAGCTTTGATATATTCTTTTCATCTTCAGACAGAAGAAAGTGTGATATAGCAAGTGTTCATGTACTACAGGTATTTCTCATTAGAAATGATAAAAGGAGGATTAAAAATGTCATGAAAACTCTGCCTGATTAGAAACTGAGTAGGGATTCTGAGAAAGGGAGGAATCAAATTCCCTTGGAATGGTTACTGTCTGTCCATTCAAAACACTTATATTCATTTCCTTCTGTTCTGCATTAGCTCCTGTATTTCTACTTCCAACCACCATCGTCTGTTGGATATTCTTGGCTTTCACACTCTAAATAGCATTCTTTATAAGGCCTGATGCATATAGATGGCCTGGTTAATCTGTCTTCTCATTGCCAATCTGGGATTAAGACTATAGGCATTGTTGCCATCAGTACAACATTAGGTAGTTTCACCTGAAAATACAGCAGGAACCTAGAGAGTATCAAATTGCAACTGGTATGTTTGCAGCTCTGTCTGAATTTCAGAGTAATCCAAATGATGTGTTGATGCACAGGTGAAAAATAGAACTAGTAGAAACAGAGCACCATGGCAAAAATTGGTCTTTAGCTGCTCTGCTATGATAAATGTGGCCTTGCAGCCAAACTAGATACAATTCAAAAAGACTATATGAGCCAGCTCTCTGCTGGTGCTGGCTGAAAACCAGTGAAGTATTATATTCATTGGCAGTATGGCAAGAACAAAATAAAATAAAAACCAACCAAACAATAAATCACATTTGGGATCTGTGATAGCTTTAGTAGTGCATGACAATATTGCCTTACAGCAGGAAAAAAACCCACAACCCACCACCAAACCATAGAAAACACTATGAAATAGTGTAACCTTAGAATGATTAACTTTCAAAATAAAGGAAGATTCTTTTAAATATGCCTAAGTACATTTCTCTTCAGGAGTTTAAGGGATCAGTATTTTTCCTTTGTAACATTTTATTGCATGAAAGAAGAGATGCATTTGAAGAAAAATAAGGTATAGGTAGGTTTGAACTCACCATGACTGTAGCTAAATGTAGGCTGAAAATTACAGCTGGATTATAGATTCTGGAACAGCACCAATGGCTATAAGTAAAGTTATTGAGCTAGAAGTATACCACTGGAATGACTGGGAAATTTTTAGACCAGTAAACAGCACTGGCTGTAGATGTGGGCCTCCACAATGTTTTGCCCTAATTCTCAGATATTCTTGCTATTCTCTGGATAATTCTAATAAAAGAGAAATCATTATAAACTGCCTTTTAAGAACATTATGTGAATTAAATAATGTTAATGGGTATGTTGTAAGGATGATCCATGTTTTCAAATTCCCTTTAAAAAAAAATCTGTGTGTAAAGTGCTAAGTAATATGAATCACATTAACTAAATTGTAGGCTATTGTGATATATTTAATAATCTTCAATAAGAAAATATGTAGAATATGTTTAAGATACTTTCAAGTTCTATTTATATAAAATATTGCATTTTTCATTTCTGACTAAATTCAGATCTGTGATACTGATACTCTTGGAAAGGAATTAAAACTTTCAAGTAAGGGCATCAGACCTTTTGGAACTCATGTTATAAAATGCTGTGAATTAAGAAAGGGATTAAGTAGGTTATCCAGAAGTAAGACGACCTTTTATTTAATATGAAACTTATTTCAACTCTAAAATGGTTTACTATCATTTTCTGCAAAGCAAGATGCTTACACCTTCTCAGTTGGTCTGTTTTAGCAATGTCATCACATGCGAGCCAGGTTGAAAGGTAGGTCAGTGAAATGCAGAATGTTTAACAAGTATGTGCATTAATAATGTACCCTTAGCAGTGCTATCCACAAAACTGTTTTGGAATGTTTTGTCTGTCTCCATTGATCCCCTCCTGTGCATGGTGTCACATCAGAACGTTTTTCACACTTGGCTGGAGAATGAAGATACTTGAGTTTCATCTGATTTCTGGTGGTGATGGTGCAAAAGCACAGCCTCTGAAAGGTTATTTTCTTCTCAAGAACAGAGACATACATATAGAATCATAGAATCATTAAGGCTGGAAAAGATCATCTACTCCAGCCATCAGCACAACACCACCATCCCCCATCCATGTTCCTCAATGCCACTTCTACGCTTTTCTTGAACTCATGAGCTCTCCAGCAGGGCAGCTATCACAGATCACAGGCAGAAATCATTATTCCTGAACATGTGCATTTGCTAATGTAATTGCTATTTACAGAGCAGAGTGTATGCCTGTATAGCACATCATTATTGTGCCAAGAATCAGAAAGATATTTGGTGCCTTCCTGTTGTGTAGCTTTTAAAGTTGTCTCACTTGCCCTGTATTCTGCAGGTTTAGAGACAGCAACTGTGCTATATTCTACCATGTGCCTACAAAATAAATCTGCAATTCAAGCATATGAGACGAGTTTACAAGCCAGCTGGAAACAAGGATAAGCGGTTTTCACCTGCTGACCCCTGTCTTAAAGTGAGATTGTTTTGTCATATATAAATAATCCTTTCCACCTCCCACTTATAACCTAAAAATGATGGAAGCTCAAAGCTCGGCAAGTGGCTCTCTTCCATTCTTGTCTTGTAGCAGCCTATCTGACTGTACTTGGCGTGTTCTTCATTTCAGACTCCTCCAGAGGTGAAAGCATTCAAAAATGACTTTTATAAAGTCTTTAGCAAATTACCATTTTGGTGTATCTCTAGTACATAGCAACAGCAGTAGAGTCGGACAAGCGCTTTGCCGGGATTACGCATAACTACTTGATATCAGTTTTCATTACTACCTTTTCTCTGAACAAGAAGAACTGAAGAGGGTAGATGTGCAGAGCTGCTTACTGCCTCATTCTGCATGGTTTCTAGATTCCTTTTGCCATTACATGAGAGGCACAACAGAAGCGTTGGGAACTGATATTGCAGTCAGAGGTTTTTGCTTCTATTATACATACAGCGTTTATATTAGATTAGATCCCAACATTAATAAAACATTGAATGTAAGTGCAAGAATTAATACAGTGCAAGAGCAATTTAAAAATGTGAGGCAATTAGTCAGCCTTTTCTTCAGTTTGAAAAGATTCAACTCAATTTCCTATTGATAGATCGCTTCGAGGAATGCCAGATCAATAATGTAAAGTGTTCTGGGATTATAACAAAAGGCAAAGTGCTTAATAAAAGCAAGCTTCATAGTGGGTTTTGTTATAATCCCACTGATCTGAGATATAACGTCCTGTTTGTACACAAAGGCTGAGTAGCCTGTGCTGACTGACAATACAGATGGTTCCTTCTTTGGATTGCTCAGCCATAGAGAAAGAATTGATCTAGATTATCCAAAAGCAATCTCAAGTTTCCCATGTGGCTTTAAGAGCTGTACAAAACAGAACTTTGATACTGGGCACAAAGCAAAAGTTGCCACTTCCATTATGCATTTCTAGTATGATAATAATCAGAGAATGAATTCTTATTTTTCTTAGGGGGAGTCCTAGTTCTGCACTAGTGGCCAGTAGTTGCTTCAGGGAACACTGTCAAACATATCATCTTAGAATATTTACTACCATACTGGAAGGGAAAGAAAAAAGAATCTGTTATCTAATGTGACATTATGGGTGTTTCAGAGGTGCAGATTGATGTACATGCATGTGATGTATGTGCATAACTCCATTAGCACTAATGGGAGTTAATGGGTACAGCCTGCTAGAAGAGAAGAGGCTATTTCTCTAAGTGTCGCAGGCTAATAAAAATGACATTTCAATTTAGATGTCCAACCTTCAATTTAGGCAGCAAGTGCTTCGGATGAATATTTTGACAGTTACAGTACCATAATTAACTTCAGGCTCAAATTGATTTGTTTATGCTTTCTATAGTTCATCCACAATATTTAAGGCCTTGATTCTGTTCTGTGATATAAGGTGAAACATTCACTTGAGTTTAGAAGCTTTGTTTTGTTGGTATAATATATTAAAAGGATATCACATGCCTACTGAACTTCTTAATCATTTTTTAACAAAATATTTTAATTGTGCTAGGTGTGTTAGTTTTTTTGGCAGAACAAACAGGAGTCAGTTCATGTGAATCACCAGCATTTTGCACAATCAGAAGAGTTGCTCACCAAATTTAACAGACGCTGAAAGCTGTGCAGAGCTGCTGAGAGCTCTATGGTATTCTTGTTCTGGAGTTACTGGAACTGTGAGGGAGCAATGAATGGAATAACCACACACTTCTCTCTGTCTGCATGCCCGATACACCTTTCAAAGGAGATCAGGGCAAGGAAGAAGGTAGTCTCTCCTTTAGAGATGTGCTTTAGAGATGTACTGTGAAATACTTCTTGGGTATGTTTTTTTCATTTTTCAGTTCCTAGCAATGAACTCATTAGAAAAAAAGTGATTTATTAAATACCAAAGAAAATTACACATATCGTGTTCATTTCTTCTTGATGCTTCTCTGACCTTTGCTGATTTTGTTTATCTGACAGCCTTCTGTAAAATGTTATTTCTTACATTTAACTCCATTTTATTCCAGCCATTCAGCTAAAGAGTGCTTGGTTTGTGACAGTGCTGTTGAACTGCAACTGCCATTCAGACAACAGAAGTATCACTTTCCAAACTGAGCTGTGGCTTGGAGTAGATAATAGATTTTGTGATGCACTTTATGAATTTGACTATTTTAGCATTCATAACAGTAATTTTAAAACATTTCAATTATGAGTATTTTAGGACTAATGACACCAGTCTTTCACAGTAAATATCAGGGTGACCACTGCCAGCTTCTAAATATGGCAACTCCCATGAGACAAAGCAGCTTATGGAGTATCAGTTCTACTAGTAGTTAAGATTGCCCATAGGCTTGGAGGGGATCATCTTAGAATTGTTCCTGAGATGTTTACTCTGTGTTCAGCTGTAAGTCTGTCCCTGATGCCCATTGCTTGTGATGTGGTCTCTGTATAGTTCCAATGAACATTAGTGGGACTTCTTGAGGAGTAAGACATTATTCAGTATTACTGAGGAGAGTGGTCAGGCCTGAAGGAAGTTAATCAATGTTACAATGTTCCCATTCTGTAAAGTCTGGTAACCATTCAGAAGATTTCCAGTTTTTAAAGATAAATAGTGCTAGAGCAGTGATGTAAATAAATATAGTTTTGCTAATTATGGAAATAATGGAATTTTATTTTAGTTTAGTGCTAAAAGGAAACAACCTCAGCCATGAAGGAAGTCAAATTCAATCAAACATTAGGGATGCTATTTGTCCAGTTTAAGTTATAAAAAAGCCATCTAAATATTCAGTTGTTGGACGTGACGGTTTGTGTTATGAAGACATTGTGTCTTTCATTAGGCTGTGTTAATATATATGCAGAAATCGATCAACTTTAATGTGATTTACCATTGTTTATAGTACAACTAGTTATGGCCTCTCTTTTCTTCTAGTAAGTAATGTAGATGAGCAGAATATTAAATCCTACACTATATCCATTAGGAAATCAAGCAGTTAGACAACTACAAGCAGTTTAATCCTCAGAGCAGTTTAAAAGCTTTTCCATTATGTTATTAACTACACATTACCGAAGGATAATGCATAATGGCAATAGCCTTCAGTATCCCAAGCTATACAAATCTGAGTAACAAAAATAGTTGACATGGTTTCAAAACACCAATGAAGAACATTTGCATTAAAAAACATATACATGACTCATTAGTAATATTGTCAGATGCTATGAGATCTATGTCATGAGGCTGGCAGTGGAGCTAATTGTGATCAGTGGTACTGTAGATACCTGGAATTATTTGATGTTATTTGTACTATTTTGAAGAATTATTTTTCAGTATTATATGTGTCTTACATGAGACTTTTCAGATTTCCCCATTTCCCAGACTGAAAATGTTAGAGTGAAAGGCAGATTTTTATGGAAGATGTCACTTTGTTGCATTCAAATGCTATATTCTCAGTTTAATTAGAAGCATGCAACTAGATCCTTTGCCCTTCTGAAAAGAATGCAATTAGTGTCACAGTGCAAGGAGTGGTCAGTTGTGTAAAAGGAAATTACTGTCCTTGACAATCTTATTTTGGAATGTTTTTCAAAGGTATTATTGAGATTGTTTTGCTCATAAAAAAGGGCCATAGCTACCACCAAGGAATCTTCATGCACCAACCTTAGGAATGCATTGCATACCTTCATCCACTTCTCCCCTCCACCTACTTCCCACTCCAATACCTGGCAAAGAATATTAGTGTTTCATATGAAAAATAGGTTGCATATACTCCTAGATGTACTTTTTCCTCCAGAATTATGTCCTGTGAAATGGATAATGAATGTTAAACAAAGTTAAAACATTTGCAGAGAATTAAATGGCAGTAATATAAGATTAGGTTGACCTCATGCTTAGAGAGATTAAAAGACTTTCATTTATCCTTTGATCTCATTTTTGTTGCTGTGAAGATCTTTATGATCAATGTTATGGAGAATTATTGCTGTTCTAAATTATTGTTCAAATTTTCAGCAATAGATTCCATGCAGAAAAAAATGGTCTGCCATATAAATGGCAAAGACACTTTACTCATTTCAGTCTTCAATTTTAAACCAAAGCATCAAATTCCAGAAAATGTTCCTCACTTAATTAGCCTAGAAGAGAAAACTGCCACCCTAGATGAACAATAAAAACTGTTTTCCGTTAGGCCCCGTGGTAAAGCTGGTAAAAGTACAATTCATTTGGATAAGACCTTACTACAGTAAGGTTCTGCTGCTTTTTTTTTTTTTTTTTTGTAGACATTACAGACTCTCAACCTCCAGCTCTAGGTAGAGATTTGTGTTAGAGCTCTCAGCCAAACTTTTTCTCCTTGTCATACAGTGTCAAACAGCTCCTTTACTTTCACCTTAAAAGTTGTGAGATTTATAATGCCTGAATGAGGATTTGGACATCTTTTAATGGAAATTTCCTATAATTCTAGCATCCTGTCAAAGACTTAGCAACCAGTTTAATTTCATAAGATGCTAGCAATCCTAAAATGAGTAGTCACTGATTTCTGAATATAAACATTATGAGGAATTAAAATTGGTAGTGGCAGCAGTGGTGTTATCAATAAGTGCAGCCAAATTTCAATGAATTCCTTGAAGGTGCACTGACTTAGGGAAAACTGTATGACAGCATTCCCATGATTCTGTAGCCTGGTGCAGTGATGAAATGGGGTCCCATGGCTACCTTGCATAGTGACAGTCTTGGCAGAGTTCTTGTTCAGGCCTTCTGTCTTATCAATCCTGATGAACTGTACTTTCAATAGGCTCAACAGCAAGTGCAAATTTATTACTTGTAACTGGTTAAAAGTGCGTTCTACTGTTGCACTGATATGTTATAAACTAAAAAGAAATAAGAAAAGTCTGTCTTAAACCTTTCTGTTTTAGAATCTTTAGAAGCTTCAAAGCAAATCAATCAGACAGCAGTCCATGTAATTCATTATCCAAAGCCTGTAAAGAAGCATGTAAAGACACAAAAAATGCTGCTTGTACTATCAGTTGTTTGCATGAGCCACATGTGTTCTTATACCCTCCTCTTGTTGATGTGTATTTGCTTTTTCTTACTACTCTGTTCCATAAAAATAAAAAAAACAGTTATCATAAAAGAACAGTCTCACTAACAAGACCATAAGTTGCAGTCAGAAGTGAAGCTAAGAAAGCATTCTTTCTTTCATAAAATTTTAGACTATATTTTTTGCTTTTGTCAAGTGTTTCCTTTGTTGTGAAATACCTATAATTGCTACTTACTCTTGCTGTTGGTTTTCTTTTATTCCTTTCTGATAGTAACAGCGGAAGAAGCTTTAATTGGTTTCACCTTGCAGAGGGGGTGACATTTCTCTCACTCCTTTAAGGGATGTATTTATCAATTAAATAACTTTGAGTATTTTGGGGGAGGAACGAATTTCAAGCTACTGTTTATTGTGCAAATGCAGCATGTTATCTTATGTATTGTACTGACAGTATATTTCCTTTTTATATTTTTTATTTTCTTTCCAAAGAAAATCACCCCTGCGTGGCAGCAGCAGCAGCCTGTTCTCATCTCTTTGACATTCTCTGTGAAAATAGGCTATGTATTCCCTGGGAGGGTTTTTGAAGGGCCAGACAGTCCTATTCCATCTATGTTTGCATAAAGAAGTAGCGGGGTGTAAGAAACCTTGTCTGTGTTTTCTGCTTAGGTCAAATTGTTAATGTTTGCAGACTGGCTCACAGAGGCAAATTGCATTATGCTCTCTCCCATTCTTGGATGGTTTTGAAGGAGCCAAAGCAAGGTAATCAGGGAAGGACTTGGTTCTCCCTTCTCACGGGCAATTTGCCTGCAGACTGAGGAGTGTAATTCTCAGCTGCTTTTATTGTTTCTTTTTTTAAGAGGAGCTCTTTTTTCTTGTTAGAAAAATAAAAATACAATAGCCTTTTTTCCCACTTTGCTATTTGGAGAGATCTTACTGAGTTAATGGTTTACTTGACTTTCTAATCACTCAAAAATCTAAACATTGGACCAGACCCTTCAAAATACTCCAAAACTACTCCAGAAAAGAGTCATCAAGATTGACATAGGACCAGTGGGCTGCAATGACAAATTAAGTCAAAATGCATTTGCTCCAAAATCAAAACAATGATGTCTGTGTGATTTACCTGAAGTTTATCAGCAGGAATATTTCCTGTTCAGCAAACCATGTAGCTACATTAATGCCATTGTCTGCTGTAAATTACCACTGTCTCTTCGTTCCAGATTTTTCATGGTAAAGTTTTGACCAACTGCAAAGCATAGAATATCGGATCCTATTATATTCAGCTATTCCATTTCTCATGTTCCTTCTTTCCTTTTCCTCACACTACGTGTATACATACATCTAAAAATGGAACTGTTTTATACTAAAAATAAAATTAAAAAGCTCTGAGGGTTTCAGTTTCTGTTGCATTCACAATTGCTCACTCTTTCCTGTTTGTGAGCAATCATCATTTAACATAGAAGTGAACTCAGATTTCCTGAAAAGAAAAAAAAATGCTTGATGACAGAATGTGTTTTCCTGTAAATCACCCAGATGGAGCGAGACACAGTGATTGTAATGCAGGGCTGACATTCTTTTACACCGTACAGTCATCTAATATTGGTTGCCATAAACACTATAAATCAGTGCACAGTGCAACTGTGCAGTGCAGTTTAAAACACCAGACTCTGAGCCTGATGCAAGATGCCAGCAATAAAACATTTACCTCTACCTCAGTTACTTGTTTACAGCTTGTTTGTTGGGTTTCTAAACTTTCTGCTGGTTCATGCTTGACATCAGCTGGTATGGCAAAGGAAGCATAAATGGGGAATGAAACAGGCTTCCAGCAGTTGAACACAGTCAAATAGATTCTGGCAGACCATGGTTG